GTGCTGCAACTGATGGCCCTTTCCCAAATACCATGCTTGCCTCACAGAGGGTGTTTTCTGCACCAGAGATACTTTAGTTCCCCAAAGTTTACAGCAGGGGACGATGCAATACCACATTTTGATTCTAATACTTCTCCATTGTCATTACCCCTCAAGGTTATGTCTAGAATTGATTGCACCTGAAGGTCTCATGGAGGATAGGACTTTTTCAAACAGATAATCCTCTTTTAGTGTTGGGAATGTGGGTCTATTGACACACATTATGTCTATCAGGCTTTCTCCCCTCTAGAACTTCACTATTTGTACAGAGCATATCTGCTGGCTGGGAATAGTGATAAGATATGGGTCGTTCCACCAATTGGGTGGGTGCCTTTTGAGTAGTGTAACTTGGTGGGGTAAAAAACGTGTTTTCACCTAATTTTAACATTCTGTCACAAAGAGCACATTCAACTTAATAAAAAACATGTTTTCCTATCTCAAGAGGTGTTAAATAAAATAAAAAATGACTATAGTAAGTGCCTATTAAGTGCCAAGTAAAGTAACAGGGTTGACGATTTCATCTTAAATCAGCCATAAATCCCCCAGGGGGGATGGAAGCTTGTTGTGTGCAACAGGGAGGGGCAATTGAATGCAAGCTTCACCCAAAAAACATTTGTTAAAACAGTTCTAGCCTATCTATGGGTAACAGGGTTGAAGTGTTATGCTCAACCCACTCAGTTTTCCACCACAAAACACCAGAAAATGGCCAAAAAGAGTATAACCTGCTTTGACACTAGGGTTTGACTATACGATTGAAAATGTTATGAAAAAAAAAATATTTCAAAAGGAATAGTTTCACCAAAACGTGAGTTCAGTTCACATAACAGGGTTGACCTTAAAATGAGGGACAGGTTTTTTTCTTTTTCTTCAAATGAATCACCAATCGTATTAAATAAATAATACATCGCCAGAAATGACTGTCAAAGCAACAAAATAAGTAGGACTTTACAACTTTGAGAAATGTTGGGGTGAGTTATAATGAGTGAGTTAAAGTGAGTTAGAATCTTCATAGTAGTCACAGAGGCAAATTTCTGGCACTTTAGCAATTCTTTATTCATATAAAAAATCAGATGTATTGAATGTTCCATGCAGTGCTCTATATTAAAGGGCACTTCATTTAATATAACAGGCTTTTAAAATGCAATATTTGTGCACAATTTCTACTTAAAATATCAAAGGGACACAAAGGCACTCATTTCATGGAACGACCCATATACCTTCACCTTTCCCAGTCTTTGAAGCATCTTGAAAATAGTTCACTATGGCAGGGGTAGCAGCCTGCGGCACATGGGACATTTGTGGCCAGTCTAGAGTCTAACACGTTTCATGATTCTATGATTGCAACCTGAATGGGCTTCAATGGACAGAAATGGGTCAAAATGTTGGCCCTTGGTCACACTTGAGCTCTCCTGCCCTATGGACATTCATACATGGACCCCAGACTGACATACAGTGCCTTCAGAAAGTATTCATACACCATGACTTATTCCACATTTTGTTGTTACAGCCTGAATTCAAAATTGATTAAATTGATGTTCTCTCACCCATCTACAAACAATACCCCATAATGACAAAGTGAAAACATGTTTTTAGAAATTTGTGCACATTTATTGAAAATGAAATACAGAAATATCTCATTTACGTAAGTATTCACACCCCTTTGCTGTAACACTCCAAATTGAGCTCAGGTGCATTCAATTTCCTTTAATCATCCTTGAGATGTCACTACAACTTGATTGGAGTCCACCTGTGGCACATTCAATTGTTTGGAAATGATTTGAATTAGTGTCACTAGCAACCAAAAAGGCTCACAAAGTTGGTTTGAACCATTGATACCCGTGTTAAAAACGTATTCTTCCTATGGGATTAGAGCTAAAGGCTGAGTGTGCAGGGAACAGAGCGTAGAGAAGAGCGCTCTATATCTGGGCTAGTCCTAGGGCTGACTATTAAAGACTCCATACCGGACTAGACAGCCGTACATTTACAACTTTAGAGACCTCATGAACTGTTGAGATCACGTCTCGTTACGTCCCCCCCCCCCCATGTCCTAAAGTAACCTTGTGTAGAGTGTGGTTACCTGTGGGTGGGATGGGTGTGTGATGTCATATTTCAGATCAGGCCGTTCAACCCTGGCCAATCGGTTTAAGGCAGGATGTTTTGGGGGTGTCGGTCAGGGTATGGAACAGCAGCAGGAGAGATAAGGGTTATTCTACGAATCAGGTTTGAGGAGTTAACTCAAACTTTGGTCAGTTCTGAGTTCAGCACAGGATAACTAGTCAGGTAAATTTCTATGGCAACGAATCATTCAGAACTAACCTGCTCCGTGACAGGCTATCTCAGGGCTAACTCCATTTATCCTGAATGAAGTGTCTAGGCTTTGAGTTGATGACCAATGAAATACGATTCCCTCCCTCTCACAAAGATTGCGTCATCATCCCCTTCATTTGAGGAAGAAGACTGATTAAATATTTTATTAATCAAATGTTTTTTTATGTAAAAAAAAGAATAAAATGTTACACCTAAAAAGTAAAATCTTAAAATATCTATCACATTATTTAGTAATGACAGAATGCACTTGAAACTTCACGCAAAGTAAAACTTTTGTATGACAAATTAAATAATAATAATTATTATGATACAATAATTGTATTGATAGGAGTCGGGGAAAAAGGTGCTCAAGCATTGATAAGCACAACAAAGACGGCATTAACGATAAGTAAAGACAGCACTTCTAAAAGCCTATTTCACAACATAGCCTGTTGAATTTGCAAGATAACTTTTCCTTCATTTTGATTTTGGCACAAATTTAAATGGGGCACTGACTCGCCCATGGATTGATGTTTCAGTATTGTCTCAATAAAGAGTTTGCCGTTCGACTAGCCACGTGTGACATGCACACGCAGTTACATGCCTGCTAGAGTTAATGGCAAGCAATATCCACTGTCGTAGTGCGGATGAAGCCTGAGCTGGAATGTGAAGCTGAAGCTGGTTAGCTTTAGAAAACCCTGAGTAGATCTAGCTTTCTTCGTATGATGCCCCTATAATATATAGCCGTAAAGAGCAAAATATTTACTTGGAGGAGAGAGGCCGAAGCTCAGCCCACCTCTAGTCGTGACAACCGTGTTTCTCTGGAGGTAAACCAGATCAGACAAGAAATGGAATTAGAGTTTAAGTCTTCATTTCAGTGTCAGACACAGGACATTGTCTGGCCACTATTGTGATCAGGCACATTTTTACTGCCATGATTAGCTCCTCTCAGTGTCCCTGGCATGAAAACAGTTACCGTCATGTTCAGCAGTTGCTCTTTATCTATTACAAATTACAATGACTTTTATTAATTGTGATTTTTAGATCAGTTTGATTATGTGGCCCCTGTTGGTACGTATATGCATTGCTTGTCTTAGCACTCTTCCACCTCTCCTTTCATATTGAGGTAATATGTGCATACCTCAGACCAGATGAAGTGCTGGTGTCTGGCTTGCGTCACATTGTGGCCGGAGGAGATGCATTTCTCAGCTGTAGCCAGTTTGTCATGCAACACTGCAGGGCCTACTGAAAAACATCCAAATGAAAACAAACACATTACAGTAAAATATGATTTAAAGCAAATGTTATCCTGCTGTGTGTAATCTCTTATATAGGAACCTGGCTTTGACACTTTATGCATAGACTGAGAGTGCACCATAGTTCTGTCCAGTCATTGGGTTGCCTTGTTCCGTTTGGGATGGGAATGTCTCCATTGCAGTTTCCTAAACTGAAAACCTTCACATTTGTTAATTGAATGAGTGTATTTCCAAGTAAAAGGAGCTCTATGAAAACCCCAGATGGTCTTTTTTTGTTCTAGTTTCATGAGGAATCACTCAACTGGTTACATTTATTAGAACTGGTGATGTCCATGCGTGCATCCCAAATGACACCCTATTCCCTGTACACTGAGTGTACAAAACATTAGGAACACCTGCTCTTTCCATGACAGACTGACCAGGTGAATCCAGGTGAAAGCTATGATCCCTTAGTGATTGTCACCTGTTAAATCCACTTCAATCAGTGTAGATCAAGGGAGGAGACAGGTTAAAGAAGGATTTTTAAGCCTTGAGACAATCGTATGTGTGCCATTCCGAGGGTGAATGGGCAAGACAAAAGATGAAGTTCCTTTGAACAGGGTATGGTAGTAGGTTTGAGTGTGTCAAGAACTGCAATGCTCCTGGGTTTTTCACGCTCAACAGTTTCCCGTGTGTATCAAGAATGGTCCACCACCCAAAGGACATCCAGCCAACTTGACACAACTGTGGGAAGCATTGGAGTCAACATGGGCCAGCATCCCTGTGGAACGCTTTCGACACCTTGTAGAGTCCATGCCCCGGCGAATTTAGGCTTTTCTGAGGGCAAAAGGAGGTGCTACTCAATATTAGGAAGGTGTTCTTAATATTTTGTACACTCAGTGTAGCGCACCACTTTTAACCTACTGGTTTTTACTTCCCTTTATATAAGTCTGATGACATAGTCACTCAATCAGAATATCTTGACTTCTGTTCCATATTGCTCCCCAAAATATAACACATTTTCTATTATAAAACATTCTCCAAATAGATCGGCTGTTGTGTGTATCCACTTCTAATTTGGGGTGGGGGAAGTATTAAATGAGATGCCGATAGGCTAATCAGGGTGTCACTGTGTCCAAGGGGAGTTTCCAGCTAACATTTTCTAACACAACTAGCCTAAATAAAGATGATGGTAACTTCTCACCCCAATTTGTGTTAGGGTGACTGTACCAACCACAATTGACTTTATGACCTCTATCATTACCTCTATGAAACAGTAACACCATTGTTGTGAAACCACTGTTACCTAATACACATTCGTCTTCACTAATTGTATTTAAATAATAAATAATAATTTGGTGGGTGCTTATATCTGTCCTATTTGAATTGAAAATGTGTTTTTTTGCATATATTTCAAAGGACTCCCTAACTGTTAAGCCCCAGGATAACAACAAGTCTGAATTTGCCTTGGACTGTGTGTGTTCCTATCTTCCAATGGTAAGTCCTGGCATGAGCAGCTATCTAGTCACATTCCACAGTGAGGAGACCACAGGTAAGCAGCTATAGAGAGAGAGAGAGGGAGGAAGGAAAGAAGCACAGAAGACATCATGAATACACCCCAATACTGCTTTCTGATGTTGCTTATCTACTCAGGTGGACCCAATGCAGGTAGAATGGCTTTTATTTCCTGTGTGATACTTGACACCATTGTTAGGTTAGTGTTGAGGTGTGACAAGTCACGCGATGCAGGGGGGGATCTTACGCTGTAGTTCACATTTGGTGGCCTACCCTTAGCTTGGAACTATCAGACAAGACAGTGGATCTGCCTGAGCTTGTCCTCTGTGGAATGCTATGGCCAACAAACACATAGGACTACATTGATACAAAGGCCTCCATGTGGTGTTGATGCTGTGTTTTGTTTGATTAGATATGATATGAGATATTCTCTATTGAAGCTTTGTGTGAGTGTTATGTGGACAGTGTGTGTAAGCCCTCGACCATCTGTTTGGCATGTTCTTTGATAAAGGAGAAAACAATGTAGCACATTAATGGGGAAGTTGTAGTCATGATGAAATGATGTCACTTTTATCTGCTGTCCATAGGCCTACTAGAAAGAAGGAAATGCCTGATATTTATAACACAATCTAAATCAATCTGAATGGCAAAGTTGAAATGGATGAGAAATGTTCATAATGCCTGCCCAAGTAAGCCTCAGTTCAGTGTATCACTTCCCTACAGTAGCTAATTTATCTATAGACATTGTTTGTTTTCCCCCTCTCAAATGTTGTTATATAATCAAATCAAATTTGTATTTGTCACATGCGCCGAATACAACAGGTGTGAAATGCTTACTTAACCAACAATGCAGAATAAAAAGTACGAAAAATGTGCTCAATAAACTAAAGGAAAAACCTTAACACAATAAAATAACAATAACGAGGCTATATACAAGGGGTACCGGTACCGAGTCAATGTGGAGGGGTACGGGTTAGTCGAGGTAATTGAGGTAGCAGGTACATGTACAGTAGGTTGGGGTAAAGTGACTATGCATAGATAATAAACAGACAGTAGCAGCAACGTATGTGAAGAGTGTGAAGGAATGTGAATGAATGTTTGTGTGTGTGTGTGTGTGTGTGTGTGTGTGTGTGTGTGTGTGTGTGTGTGTGTGTGTGTGTGTGTGTGTGTGTGTGTGTGTGTGTGTGTGTGGAGCGTCAATATACATGTGTGTGTGTGTGTTTTCTGTGAGTGTGAGGTTAGTCCAGTGAGTGTACATCGAGCCTGTGCAAGAGAGTCAGTGCAAAAAATAATAAGAAATAGGAATAAAATAAGGGGCTCAATGTAAATAGTCAGGGTAGCCATTTGTTAACTGTTCAGCAGTCTTATGGCTTGGGGGTAGAAGCTGTTAAGGAGCCTTTTAAGCATTGTTTGAGCAGTTATCTGGAAAATGTTTTTGATTACGTCACAAAGCAGGTTAACACGGTTCTCACACCAGACAAGATAAAGCCACTGAATCTAAACTTTCATGTGTCTGTACTATGTCAACCTCTCTAGGAGCTCTGAATGGTATTAGCCCATTCATAAGGCATTACGAAGGCTTGTCATATGATCGTGAGGCCTTACACAGGAGACACCAGCGCGCCAAACGAGAGACACAGCCTCAGGACCAGACACTGCAGCTGGACCTCAGAGCTTTTCTCAGGTACTGGACACAAGCCCAGGAGATGCTGTTTCATTGCCTTTCTGATCAACATATAATTATAAACGCTTGTTTCAACACATGTTTCACTCTTTGTGCTGTGTGTCACACGATTGTTTACTTTAGGACCTTCCGGTTGCGTCTGAGGCGAGACACGACGGGATTAACAGAGCCTTTTCAAGTCTTCTCTGAAAACAGATCAAGTACAGCAGACCTCTCCCATCTATATTCTGGGGAACTTGAAGGTATATGACACTTCAGGGATTCGTGGCTTTATAATGGAACATACTGTAGCCTGCCTCCCCTCAATCTGCCTATCGGTCTCTCTCCCCCTCCATCTCTCGCTAACTCCCACCTGTCTGTCTCTCACCAGATGAGAGGGGATCTTCCTGTCACGGCTCTGTCATCCAGGGCCAGTTTGAGGGTTCTGTCCTCACAGCCAATGGGACGTATTACATAGAGCCCGTCCACAGATACACCAGCCAGCCCTCACAACACCACTCCATCATTTACCATGAAGACGACATCGGTAAGAGAGGACTGTTGAACATCTCATGAATGTTCTTCTCAAATGTATATTAAAACGGTCCAATGCAGCCGTTTTTATCTCAATATCAAATCATCTCGGGGTAAAAAATAAGTACCTTACTGTGATTATTTTAAACTAAAACAGTTTTAAAAAATTCACATTTTCAAGCAAAAATTTTGCTAGGACTGTGGGAGTGGTCTGAGTGAGGGGCCTTATTGGAGTAGTCTAATGGGAGAGATATGTAACCTGAAAACTAGCTGTTATTGGCAGTGAGGTTTGAAAATCTCTTTGTTAATGGTCTATTAACTTATACCGCCTGGTGATGTCGCCAGGCAGGCCAAAACTCCACTCATGCAAAACAAGCTGAAATTTCAGGTGGTCTTTCAAACAACTCTTACACTAAAAGGGCATTATCATCATTTTCACAATTTTCACAGTATTATTCCAACCTCATAGTGTGGACGTACACTACCAGTCAAAAGTTTGGACACACCTACTCATTCAAGGGTTTTTCTTTATTTGTACTATTTTCTATATTGTAGAATAATAGTGAAGACATCAAAAATATGAACTAACACATATGAAATCATGTAGTAACCAATAATGTGTTAAACAAATCAAAATATATGTTATATTTGAGATTCTTCAAATAGCCACCCTTTGCCTTGATTAGAGCTTTGCCCACTCTCCCCTACAATCAGTGTGAGTGGGCCAGAGATAATGTGGCCATTTTGTACTACAGTAACTGCCTGTGGTTGTCATCTGAATTTGAGGTTGGATAAGGATGAAGGACTCCTGGTCCCAGACATGGGACGTCCCAGGTTTGTTTGTAAATAGGCCTGTAAGACACACACCCCTCCAGACAGACAGACAAACAGACAGACTGAAGGCCAAGCTCATCACAAGGTAATGAAGAAGACACTACGGAGGAAGTTTTACCACCAATCCATGGGGTCATAAAGCATTGAGATTATCTCCAGTGGCTTGGATTAGAGTAGCCTCTTGAAGTGTGTGTGTGTGTGTGTGTGTGTGGATGTGTTTGTGTGGATGTGTTTAACTATATAAGAATAGTAAACAAACAAAGAATGTGGGGACATTTTGTTAGTCCCCACAGTCAAATGCTATTTCTAGGGGGTTTAGGGTTAGGGTTAGAATTAGGTTTAGGGTTAGGGTTAGGAGCTAGGGTTAGGTTTAGGGTTAAGGTTATGTTTTCAGGTTAGGGGTAAGGTTAGGGTAAGGGTATGGGTTAGGGATAGGGAAAATAAGATTTTGAATGGAACTGAATTGTGTGTCCCCACAAGGTTAGTTATACAAGACTGTGTGTGTGTGTGTGTGTGTGTGTGTGTGTGTGTGTGTGTGTGTGTGTGCGTGCGTGCGTGCGTGCGTGCGTGCGTGCGTGCGTGCGTGCGTGCGTGCGTGCGTGCGTGCGTGCGTGTGTGCATGTATGAGTGCAGTGAGGAGATAGAGAGGTGGGGGCAGGCTAGTACTGACAAGTCCCCATGCTGTATGGAGTGCTGAAAGAGGAGAAGCAGACAACCCAAGGTTAAACAATAACAGAGAAAGGAGTGTCCGAGTGTGCCTGTTTGTGAGCGCTCTGTGGTTACCCCTGGTCACATGACCGCTCTTTTGAACTCACACCACCGTGGTGAGAGAGAGGGGTAAATATCAAGCTTTTCCCATGCTCCCTGGGGCTGTCATTCACCCTGCGGGCGCTCCTTCTGCTCTGGGTGTGATTAGTTAAGAGGTTCACTCATGAAAACATACTTCCCAACCCACACCCTGCAAGCAAGCAGATGACAAAGTCTCTAGTTCTGATTGTAAGTGAGAAACAGTGAAGAAGAATACGTACTCCAGATGTGTGAAAGCATTTTTGTTTTAAGATCTATTCGAAACATGGGCAGCCCTCACACAGTGCTTTCAACGTTGTTCACATTGTGTGTTGTAAAGGGACAGTTCTCTAGTTGAATTCCATCCAGCCTCATAGACTGAATTCAGTCCCTTCATGGAGGATTTTGCAGAAAGAATCCGTGTTGGGAAATACCCCGAGACCACGTTTCAGGTCTTGAAACCACCCCAGGGTTGTCTCCTGGCCATGCTTAATGACATGATTTGTAGCCCACCATGGAAAGACGTCTCAGGAGGACCACTTTTAGCAAATTACTCTGTGAAAATGACAGAACCTTTCCATCAGCACATTCAGGGGATGTGGCCAAGTTCTCCTATAGGATCGAACTTTAATTTAAAAAATATGTCTGGTGACTGAGGGTTCTGGTCTACTCTGTGGCTGAGTATGGCACAGTGTTTCAGTTTTATGAAATCCTTATTTTGCCCTGAATTGGTTTGATCTTCAGGTAAACCAACTCAAGAGTTTTTGTGCTAGAGTTAGAACCATTATACGTTTAAACTGTGCACGTTTCACATAAAAAGTGTAGTTGGCTGTTTAAACTACAGTGCATTCGGAAAGTATTCAGACCCTTTTACTTTTTCCACATTTTGTTATGTTACAGCCTTATTCCAAATTGGATTAAATCAAATCAAATCCTCAGCAATCTACACACAATACCCCATAATGATAAAGCGAAAACAGATTAGTAAGAATTTTTTGGCAATTTATTACAAATAAAAAACAGAACTACCTTGTTTACATAAGTTTTCAGACCCTTTGCTATGAGACTCGAAATTGAGCTCAGGTGCATCCTATTGTCACACCCTGGCTCTGGGACTCTATATGTTGAGCCAGGGTGTGTGCATTCTATGTGTTCATTTTCTATGTGGGTTGTTCTAGGTTGTCTATGTCTATGTTTGCATGTGTGACTCCCAATCAGAGGCAACGAGTGTCAGCTGTCGGCTGGTTGTCTCTGATTGGGAGCCATATTTAAACTGTGTGTTTTCTCTTGGGTGTTGTGGGTTTTTGTTCCGTGTCGGTATGTTAACCGTTGGACTTCACGAGTCGTGTTTTGTTTGTTTGTTAGTACTTTAATTAAATAAAGTCATGTTTCTTTCACACGCTGCGCCTTGGTCTACTACTCCTTTTGAAGACGATCGTGACAGAAAAACCCACCATACCAGGACCAAGCAGCGTGTCCAGGAACAGGCAACCTGGACGTGGGAGCAGCGTCGGAGGGTCGAGAGGCAACCCCAAGAAATTTTTAGGGGGGGGCACACGGCATGGACGACGGGGCTGACGGAGGCAAAGATGGGGCGAATCCAGGAGGCCACCAGGCCAGGGGTACACCGCCCTGTACGTCCTGTGCGGATGCCTCACACAGAGTGTGTGAGGGTAGGCATTCAGCCAGGACGGGTGGTGGCCGCTCTTCACTCCAGGTCTCCTATCCGTCTCCACAGCCCGGTTCGGCCTGTCCCTGCTCCACGCACCAAGCCTACGGGGTGCGTTGCCAGCCCAGCCCGGCCTGTCCCTGCTCAACGCACTAAGCCTACGGGGTGCGTCGCCAGCCCAGCCCGGCCTGTCCCTGCTCCACGCACCAAACCTACGGTGTGCGTCGCCAGCCCAGCCCGGCCTGTCCCTGCTCAACGCACTAAGCCTACGGTGTGCGTCGCCAGCCCAGCCCGGCCTGTCCCTGCTCCACGCACCAAACCTACGGTGTGCGTCGCCAGCCCAGCCCGGCCTGTCCCTGCTCAACGCACTAAGCCTACGGGGTGCGTCGCCAGCCCAGCCCGGCCTGTCCCTGCTCCACGCACCAAACCTACGGTGTGCGTCGCCAGCCCAGCCCGGCCTGTCCCTGCTCCACGCACCAAGCCTACGGGGTGCGTCGCCAGCCCAGCCCGGCCTGTCCCTGCTCCACGCACCAAACCTACGGTGTGCGTCGCCAGCCCGGCCCGGCCTGTTCCTGCTCCACGCACCAAGCCTACGGGGTGCGTCGCCAGCCCAGCCCGGCCTGTCCCTGCTCCACGCACCAAACCTACGGTGTGCGTCGCCAGCCCGGCCCGGCCTGTTCCTGCCACTCGCACCAAACCTACGGTGCGCGTCGCCAGCCCGGCCCGGCTCGTTCCTGCCACTCGCACCAAGCCAGGGGTGCGAGTCGTCAGCCTGGTCCAGCCCGTTCCTGCCACTCGCACCAAGCCAGGGGTGCGAGTCGTCAGCCTGGTCCAGCCCGTTCCTGCCACTCGCACCAAGCCAGGGGTGCGAGTCGTCAGCCTGGTTCAGCCCGTTCCTGCTACTCGCACCAAGCCCGGGGTGCGAGTCGTCAGCCTGGTAAGACCGGTCAGCTGCTCCACAACGGAGCGTAAGCTATCCGCTCCGTCTATGTCCAGTCCAGATCCAGCCAGCGGGGTCAGACCGGACCAGGGGCGCTACGGGGGTATTATGGAGGGGTGGTGGTCAAGGCCGGAGCCGGAGCCGCCTCCGAGGAGGAATGCCCACCCAGCCCTCCCCTGTTTGGGGTTTGTTAAGACGCGGTCGCAGTCCGCGCCTTTAGGGGGGGGTACTGTCACACCCTGGCTCTGGGACTCTATATGTTGAGCCAGGGTGTGTGCATTCTATGTGTTCATTTTCTATGTGGGTTGTTCTAGGTTGTCTATGTCTATGTTTGCATGTGTGACTCCCAATCAGAGGCAACGAGTGTCAGCTGTCGGCTGGTTGTCTCTGATTGGGAGCCATATTTAAACTGTGTGTTTTCTCTTGGGTGTTGTGGGTTTTTGTTCCGTGTCGGTATGTTAACCGTTGGACTTCACGAGTCGTGTTTTGTTTGTTTGTTAGTACTTTAATTAAATAAAGTCATGTTTCTTTCACACGCTGCGCCTTGGTCTACTACTCCTTTTGAAGACGATCGTGACACCTATTTCCATTGATCATCCTTGAGATGTTTCTACAACTTGATTGGAGTCCACCTGTGGTAAAATCAATTGATTGGACATAATTTGGAAAGGCACACACCTGTCTATATAAGGTCCCACAGTTGACAGTACATGTCAGAGCAAAAACCAAGCCATGAGATCGAAGGAATTGTCCGTAGTGCTCCGAGAGAGGATTGTGTCGAGG